CAGCTGAATTCAGGAGGCTCTGAAGCTGTAATCTGAAAATGCATCAGTTTCCCGTTGGTGAAATTAATCACCACCTATGTCCTCGGACTGGAGCTGCACCTGCACCTGAGAGGGGCAGCTGCAAAGTCAAATACACAGGAGCGGGGAGGCACAGGCCTCCTGCACGCCCACCTTGGCCCACTTGCCCACTTCCCTGGCATCAGTCCAAAGGGTAAAATCCTTGCTCCTGCAGGCTGGCGCCCACCTACCTAGCAGTAGCCACACTGTGCATCCTCTCATTAGTTAATTTGCACCATCCTGTTCATTTTACAAATGAGAAAACGGATGGAATCACCTTAGTACAGGGGTGGGGGATGTCCGGCCATCGGGCCTTACAAGGCCCAGAAATCATTTGGTCTGGCCCTGCCAAGGCATTAAGGGTGAGATAATTAAATGTTTGACCAAATATAGCAGGCTAATTTTTAAGCTGATAATTTTGTATGGCCTGCGAATGATGCTATAAATATCCAAATGGCCCTGGGCAGGAAAAAAGTCCCACCCTGCCCGAGTAAGTGCTGGAGCCAGGATTTGAACCGAGTCTGTCATGACCTGTTCTCTATGTTGTCCTGTCCTCTGGGTTATTCCGTCTCCCCGAGTGCTCTCTATTCCCCAAACAGCAGTCCTACCGTATATTACAAACCAAAGTCTCCTCTCTACCCTTTTCAACAAAATGTCTCTGGGTGACCAGAGCAGGGGCCCAGAGACCCACAATTGAATTCCTCGGTCCCGCAGCCCTGAGAACCACTTGTAAAGGGGGCTGTGGAAGGAGGAAGAGTGATCTTGTTAATAAGTTCTCAGCATGGTGGAGGCAGAGAAACCTGCCTGGGGGCTCCTGACCCTGCCAAATTGCCTCTTCAATCTTGGCCATTTTTTAAGTCTAACTCAAAAATTCAATTATCAGAATTACTCATCCAGTCTCCTGAGAAGCCCAGGACTCTGCCTTCGGGGCCAGATGTGTTTGCCTCTTGCCACAGCTGGGGCCTTCCCAACTCACTCTGCGGGTGTCAGGTGGGGTGGGCCTGGGCGGGTCCAGAGACGTGGGATCTCGCTGGGGCTCCTAGTAGAAGCCAGTCTCATTCCTTCTGCAAGATTATGATGTGGAAAGAAAAAGATGGCTAACTGACCCCAGACATTGGCCAAATCCCTGGGGTTTGCTTGTTCATTCATTTCCGTGAAGGTTCTGCCTCCAGCCAGCAGCTTACACTGAAGTCATCCCTGACACCTCTTTCTCCCTCACCCTCTGTGTCCTGGCACAGTCACGGCTGTTCTATTCACTTTGTCTCCCAAGGCCATTGCTTCATTTATCTTCATCCCCACCTTGGTCCAGGTCTCTCACCTGAACCACTAGCTATAATGGCTTCCTAGTTGGCCTCCCCACTTCGACCCCTACCCTCTCTAGTATCCCCAAACCACAGCTAGAGTGATTCTTTAAAATGCAAAGCAGATCGTGTAATCTCTTTGGTTTAAATGCTGACTGCTTCCCATTGCACTTAGGCTGATGTACAGGTAGTGTGCTGAGTTCTGCCCATTCCTTCGTTTCCTCTAGTGGCCTGCCCTCTCCAGCCTCAGGGCTTTCCTTCTGGCCACAGGGCCTTTGCACATGCTTCCCTGCCTTGCATCTTCCCATCCACTTCCCCGGCCTCCCTTGCTTCTTGTTGGCTGGCTCCTGTTTATGCTTCGGAGAAGTCTTCTGAATCAGGAGCCCCTGTTGTACAGTGATGTCCTCACCGGCACTTGGCTACGTGTGACTTTCTTTGGTTATGCCCCTTCCCATCACTAGCTGGCACGTCTGTGAGGCCACACGCCCGATTCGATTTGCTCACCACTCCAGCCCTGGTGTCAGCCTCAGAGCAGCAAATACATTTACTCACCAAATATTCTTGAGCTGCTCTCACCTCCTTCTGGAAGAACTCACACTGGGGAGGGGTGGGGGGAGAAGGGGAGCACAGGTAGTAACTCCAACAGGGAAGACTTGTTTCCGAGCCAGCAGTCTGTAACATCACGTGCAATCACGTGACAGCCCTGTGGGGGAGATGCTGCTCTTTTCAGATGGAAGACGGGTGCAGAGTAAACTGCCCAAGATCGGGCCATGGGGCGTGGAGCCTGATTCAAGCAGAAGCTGTTGGCAGCTGCAGAGCCCAGGCTCATCTCAGTGCTTCGGCGAGCACAGTTCGAGATGGTGAGTGCCCAGCAAGCTCAGGGCTGGGGCGCAGTCTGCACCCCAGTGCCGCTTCTACAGGCAGCCTGCCCAAGCTTTCCGCCACCAGATCCAAAGCCCAGGCCTGTCCCTGGCTTGGCCAGTCTCTGCCACTCTCGAGGCATCAGCCTCTCCATCGTCCATAAGAGACAAGCAGCTGGAGCTGCCTCTAGCTGACTCCTCGCAGGTCTCTGTCTCCCAGGACCCTTTCAGCTCTGTGGATTTGTCCTCGTCCTTGGGGAAGCCCTGCCCCCGCCTGGCCCCAGAGGGCAGCACTGGGCAAGGTGAGCCCCTTACCTGCTTAATGACAAAGTTAAAGTTTCAGTGGTTACCAACCACCTTCCTCCACAAATACGTAATCATGTCATTCTTAACAGGCATGCACATGAGAGCTTAGTTACAGGTTTTCAGGGTTAAAAGATCCTTTGTTTGTATTAATGCTCCTTCTTCCAAACAGAACAGCGTGTGGTCCCCGCTCAGTGGTGGCACTGGCGGGCTGTGACAAGAGGTCAGGGCCACCCTGGCTTCTCCAAAATGACAGTGGGGTCAGGGGTCACAGACAGGGTGACCAGGCTACAAGGCTCCCTGGTGGTAGAAGCCAGTGGCTGGAGCCCAGTGTGTGTGTGTGTGTGTGTGTGTGTGTGGGTGTGTGTGTTTGAGAGAGGGAACAGGTCCAAGACATAGACACAGACACAGAAAGACATGAGGGGGTGGGCACTCGGCATACAAAGTGGCTGAGAGATAATACAGTTTTATCAAGTTCAACATCTTCCTGCACCCGCCCTGCAGTGACCTGGTGACCGGACTGCCCACTGCTCTCATCCGAGACAGGACAGTGGTCCCAGCCGCTGTGCAGAAAGGGTCTGTATTGCGGCTCTGTGGATTCTTGTGGCCTGACCTTGGTGATCTGACCTTTCTCAGCTCCCAGTTTCTCATATATATAGTTTTAGTCCGTCCTCCCTCCCTCCCTCCTTCCCTTCCTTACTGTCCTCCCAGCGCCTCCTCCACAGGACAGCTGTGAGCCTACTCTCTCTTCAGTTTCTCATCTTTAACCCTTTTCTGTCCAACCTCAAGGCTGACTCGACAGACCAGGCGCTAGGAACAGGTCCAACGTCGAGCAATAAAAACAGTAAAAAGTTCAACATTCAATCCTGTCAATTAATTTGGACCAGACTGTTTGAATTCCAAAAATAACATTGGACCGCAAAGGGTTAAAATAGAAGTAATAACATATCCCTTTTTCCTCCTCAACCTCTTCCTGGTCTTTGAGATCCAGTCCCTGGTCCCCCAGCTGCTTCCAGTCTCTCCAGGAGGTGGTCTTCTCCCTGCCTCTCACCAGCCCAGTCAACCTCCTTCCTTACCTCTCTCCATTCTCCTCTCCATCCCCCTCGCTGGCCTGGGTGAGGCTGCAGCCTCCCAGGGGTCTCCCTGCCTCCTGCCCCCGCCAACTGGTCAATCACAAGCCCAACCACTCCTTCCCTGTTTGCACACATTGTCGCAGGCCAAGTTCCCATTCCTGCTTGGCATGCGGTCCTCCCTGCCTGACCTGGCTTTTCTCCCATCTCTCTGGGCTCATCACTGTGATACCCCACCCCCACCCGTCAGTCTTGCCACACTCCTCCTAGTTCCCGAAGTCACCTCCTATTCTGCAACTCCAGGTTAGCACACGTGTCTCCTGCTCTGAAATACTCGTCTCCCACACCCTCAACTTGGCTCACTCCACTCATCCTTAAAGTCTCATCTCCGGAACCACCCCAGGGCCTCCATCCTTTCAGCCTCACTTTCTCCTGCTATAAAATGGACACGGTCTCTTTGCCCCCTTGTAACTGGAGACAGACTTAGGGTTTTAATTGACTACAAGCAGGCAAGTTTGCTGAGACCAAAGAAGAAGGGACCTCAAATGCTAATACTACCTCAGTTGCATCAATAGAGGTATAGAGCCCAAATGAGAGGTGAAGAGTCCTGCTCTGTCTGTGACTCACCATCCTGCACTGAGAGTCTGTGATCATGTCCTGTACCAGGCAACAGGATGGATATTGGCAAAGTGGATTATATCATTGATACTGTCACCCTGGTCATCAAATTGGTTTTCCATTTATCAAACATATATATGGCAGGCACTATACCTATGTCACGTTTAATCCTGCTGCTCTGCCCTTTCAGTAGGCGAGGAGGAACAAATTCAGTCTGCTTGGTGTTGCAATAAAACAATGCCCGTGGCAGGTGGAGCAGTGTCCCCAGGACATGTCCGTTCTCTAGTCTCTGGAATCGTGACTATTTACCTAACATGGCAAAGGGAAGTCTACAAGTGTCCTTCGTGTTATGAGATGCTGCGGGTGGGCTCACTCTAATCACCGAGTCCTTAAAGGAGGAGGATCTCTTCCAGCTGCTGTCAGAGGCAGACGTGGCAGCAGGAAGAGGGGCAGAGGGGCTGGCTTTGACGCTGGAGGAAGGGGCCACGAGTCACGGGATGCAGGGGACCCGGGGAGCTGGAAAGGGCGAGCAGGCAGATTCTCCCCTGGAAACTCCAGAAAGAACTCAGTCCTGCTAACACTGAGTTCTGGGAGACCCATGTCAGACTTCCGACCCCTAGAGCCGTAAGAGAATACATTGTGCTGCTTTAAGCCACCAAGTTTGGAGTGATTTGTTATAGCAGCAATAGAAATACACTGCAATGCCTAACATAGTCACTGTAGAGCTGATCCTATGAATTTAGAGATGGATGCCATGGGCTTGTGGTAATGCCCAGTAATTTCTTTTTTTAAAAAAATCTATATTCTTATATTGGGGGGAGGGAGTAGAAAAGAAAGCAGCCCCTATACTGGGCCCCACTCTGTGGCAGCTTCTTGTTCCATAGGTTAAGGAAGACTTTGAGGAAATAAAAGTTGTTTGGGAAAATCCAGGTGCAATTGCTCTATATGCTGTGATGGGTAGAAGGGATGAAGTGGGAGGGCCCCTCACACCCTCAATCTTGCCTCACACTATGTCCTGGGACCCTGGGGCGGAGAAACCGCCACTTTCATTCCTACTTCCTGGGATTGTTGACGGCCACATAGTGATAGAGAACGACAAGCAGGAAGAGCGACACGCCCAGCATGTTGGCGAAGATGGCGAACTGCACATCGCTAATCATCCTGAGCAGCTGGGCTTGGCTCCGACGCGTTCTGCGCACTAGCTCCAGGTAGGAGACCTGCCTAGAGTAATTTCTTAATGACAAGGCCCATCAAATAGACAGCCAGGGAGGTAGTGAGCTCCCTGTCCCGGAGGTGTGGCTGCAAAGTGCAGGTGGAGATGGGTAGGTACTTGAACAAAGTACCGTCGTGACCCTCAGAGGCCCGGGTCAGAAGCCATGTGACCGTGGGCAGGAGGAGGTCACGGCTCTCCCTGCAGGCTGGGAGGCCTCTGGCACTCCATCGCCACCCGATGCATCCTCCCTTAGGCAAGTTATTATAGATGGTCACAGGACTCCATTTCTTCAGAACGCCTCTGTGTAATGCATTGAAAGAATTATTGAAATGTGTAATTATAGTGTGCATTGTAATATAAAACAAGTCTATTATATTCATTTGATGGAACTGTGCTCCATAATGTCTATTCTCATATAAAAGATTCTGCCATTAGAGTGTTATATTGTGTGATGATAATTGTCCGTCTGCAGACACCGTCTCCCTGTCTTCATCCGGTTCCCACACTTCCCCTTCATGTGTCTACCGGCGTGAAACCAGAGTACCGAGCTTCAGAGTTGGGGAGCATTTTGGGGTCATTCGGTCCAACCCCACATTTGACAGATGGGGAAAAGGAAGCCTTGAGGGATGAGGCATCTGCCCAGGGTCCAGAACTGGTACCACTGGTCTCTTCCCAGTCCCAGCCACCATTTTGCCTGTGATCCCCAAACACTTTTGGGAATTGGAACCCTTTCCTCACAAAGAATCTCACATGGAACCACATACACAGACCAGAGGGCCAGCTCTGCGCGGAGCTGATGGGCGGCCCCTCCACCCCCACTCCGAGCTCCCCCAGACATTGGGGCTCTAAGGGACAACCCCCCATTGAAAACCGGTGGCCCAAGTTCTTCATCATCCAGATGAGAAAGTGCTTGCCCAAGATCAGACCTCAAGTTGTCCCCTCGGTCACGTGGAATTTTCCCTTCCCCACCCTGGCCGCCGTGGTCTCCGGGAGTGTTGTTCATCGAGGTGGGAGGCCCTCCTGCAGGCGGGGGTGGGGGTCTGTGCCAGGCTTAGGAACCCCCTGGGGACCTGCTGCACAGCGGGAGCTAAGAACAGCTTCCTCCGCCTGCACCTCGCTGGCCTGCCGCTCAGCCTCCTCGCCTGCACCCACACATGCTTAGAGCCAACACGTGCTGGGCACTGTTCTGGGCCCTGGGGACACAGCAGTGAACAAAACAGACTCCGCTTACATTTCGGCCCTGAGAGGACATAGTAGAGAAGCAACAACCCCCTCTGTTGGTGGGTGAACCTGGTATAGCCAAGAGGACAGGAGAGCAGTGCAGGGGGAAGGTGGCAGGAGAGTGATGTGAGTAGAGCCGGGAGGAGATGAAGGACCGGGTGAAGCAGACATCAGGGTCAGGGTGTCGCAGGCTGAGGGGACAGCTGCTGGATCAGTAAGTACCGGGAGGCAGGAGGGAGCCCGGGTGCCCGAGGAGCAGCGAGCAGGTCGGGGTGCTTGGGGGTGAGCGTTGGGAGATGAGCTTGGATGACGACCGGGCCTGTGCGGGCCTGGTGGGCCCTGGGAGGGTTGGCCTGACTTTGTGAGCGGGCGGAGCCCGGAGGGTCTGGAGCAGGTGTGCTCTGACCTGGGCTTTTGCAGCATCACTCTGGTTCCCGTGCCAGGAGGCCGGGCACATCCAGGTGAGGAATGGCTGCCTCCTGCCCCCAGTCCAACCCTGTGGTTTCCCACAGGGCCAGGATGTGACCGCCCAGGGAGAATGCTGAGAAAAGAGGGAGCCCCCTGGTGTCCTGCCTGCTGTGTGTTAGGTAACAAAATCTGTCTTGGCCTCAGAATGTCATTATCTTCTTCATCACCCTTGTTGCCCGAGCCTCCATTTTTTATCGTGTTTTGAGTAGATTCTCTCACTGCTAAATCTCCCAGCAACTTCCTGTGAATTAAGCTTCACTCCTTGTATTTTGTGCTCAAAGAAGCTGTCAGAGAGGAAGGAGAACTGCCTGAGGCCACACAGCGGGTAGGTGGGAGCCAGGACTCCAGCAGGCTCTTGTCCTTGCTTCTCACTGAAGGGGGACCCCTGGGAGGGCCACGCTCAGGCCCCAGGATTCCAGCAGCGAGCCCACAGGCAGGTACTGCATTTATGTTAAGAGTCAGACGCTGAAGCTTACCTTGCCAAGTTCTACACCCACAATCTCAGCTTCCTCTCAGTGGTTTTAATTCTCCCACTTTGCAGACCAGGAAATGAATCGGTGAGGTTAACTCACTTGCTCAGGGTCGCATTCCCAGTAAATCGAGGCGCTGGGACTGGAGCCGGATCCTTTGTTTCCAGCAGTTGGTGTCACCTCGTTAGATATCTGCTGAGCCGCAGGATGGAGCTGTGGCGGGTTGGACTGGCTGGGTCAGAACCCGCAGGCCCCCGGACTGGCAATTTCAAGTGTGCTATTCAAATCCAGCCCTCCTGTTTTACATGAACAGTCATCAAAGGCTGCTGTTAGCGGGACCGGTGTCTCCTCTGTGCGTTTGGAAAAGCCTCATCCTAAAGCATCTTGCCCTGTGCAGCCGTGACCCTGGGGAAGTCCCTGGGAATGAAGTCAGGAGCCAGGATCAGGAGGAAGGGAGAGGAAGGTCAGCCTTTGAAATGACAACGAGGTGCTGTTTTCTCAGCCAGGGAGGCAAGCCTTCAGTAACACCCACTGGGCTGCAGATTTTAATTCCAATCTCTGCAGCTGCTAATGTGCTTGTTTCTTGGAGAATAGACACTAATTGACAAGCAACTAAATAAATAACGTGTAACATGAAAGCAAACACAAGCTTTCAAGGAGAGGAAAAAATAGCAAAGGGGATGAAATTTAAAAATGCAGGGGGTTGAACAGTGTTTTCCTCACTCTGTTCAAGTGACATCAAAAGGCTTTTCAAAATATTTGTTTCATGGTGAAGACACAGTTTGGAGTCAGCTGAGCTCCTGTCTCCATGCTGCTGTGCCGGAGATTGGAGAGGCTTCGAAGGACTTGGAGACACGCCAGAGCCGCCCGGGAATGACCCGCCAACCCCCTCGCTTTATGGAGGCCCAGCCTGGGGCACACCCAGGGTCCCACAGTGGGTGGTCAGGCCTCCGGGAGGTCAGGCCTCTCGTGTGGATTGAACTGTGTTCCTATCTGCAAAAAAGATACGTTGCAGCCCTCATACCTCGCATCTCAGAAATAGAGTCATTGTAGGTGTAACTAGTTAAGACGAGGTCATCCAGGATAGGGTGGGCCCTTAACCTGCTATAATTGGCGTCCATATAGAACAGTGGTTCTCAACCTTGGCTGCACATTAGAATCACCTGGGAATCTTTTTAAAATGCTGATTTCTGGGCCTCATCCTCCGGAAATTCTGTTTCTTTGTTATGGGGTGGGATCACAACATTAGTAACAAAGAAACAGAATTTCCGGAGGATGAGGCCCAGAAATCAGCATTTTAAAAAAGATTCCCAGGTGATTCTAATGTGCAGCCAAGGTTGAGAACCACTGATATAGAAAGAGAGAGGCCTGGGGAGAACAGCAGGTGGACTGGGAGAGATGGCCATGTGACCACAGACAGAGGGGCGAGAGCGAGGCAGCTGCGGGCTGAGGAGGGCGGAGGTTGCTGGCCACCACTAGAAGCTAGGAGAGGCGAGGAGGGATTCGACCCAGAGTCCCAGGTGCATCTCGGCCTCATGGCACCTTGATTTTGGACGTCTAGCCTCCGGAAAGGTGAGAGAATCCACTTCCGTTGTTTAAAGCCCCCAGTTTATGGGATGTTGTTACTGCAGCCCCAGGAAGCACACACAGCCTCGGGGCTGTACCCATGCTCCCCGAGTGGCCAGCCCATGTGGCCCTGGTCACTGGGTTCCCTCACCCAGTTATTCCCTGGTCACCACAGGGCTGTAACACGTCATTTTGGTTCCCCCTTTCTAATTATTTATGTAGTTCTTGTCACCTAGACTCTCAGGACCTGCTCAAATCACAATTCAATGAGTTCCACAGGCACTTCTCAGGCCTCCTAACCCAGCCTCCCATGGGGTCACCTGCTCGTGCCCCTGTCCCTCCAGCCAGGCCACCTTGCCCCGTTGAACAAGCCTGAGTGGCCCAGGGTGCTCCCCTCAGAGCCTGGGTGCTTGCTCTGCCTGAATGCCTTCCTCCAGGCCTCCCTGGGCTCCCCCAGCCCCTCCTCGGAGATTTTGTTCAGAAGCCACTTCTCAGTGAGGCCTACACTGACCGCATTTAAAGGGACAGCCTGCCCCCTGGGCTCTGATTCCACTCAGCGGGCTGGGTGTCGGGTACTTTTCAAACGTGTCCTGCTTACTGTCCATTTTGTCTGTTTTTCCTTCCTAGACTGTAAATTCCATGCGGGCAGGGCTCCCGTGTGTTCTGCTCGTCTAAGATGGTGCCTGGTCCTCGATGACCACCCCTGGAGGGATGCTGCTCCCCGTGCCAGGCCCTGCGCTGGGCACTGGGGACACCGACATATGGACCTTAAGTAGCTACAGCGTCGCAGGGGACCAACGTGAGCCGATTCCAGCTCAGCTGCTCAGCGCGACAATTGGTTGCCTAGGGTAACAGGACTGGTGAGTCACTGTTCCCGGGTGGCGCAGGCCTTCCATGGGGCTGCTGTCAGGTGAGCGGGCAGGTGGGCTGGAGGCCCGGCCCAGGGACCCAACATGTGAAACTGAGGCTGTAGGGAGGGATAAGCTCATGGGACCGCAGACAGTGAGGCCTCGGGGGAGGGGGCATCCGGAGGGGGTCACTGGGATTCCCATCCCCAGCGGGGAGACTGAGGCCCAGGAAGGCGAGCAGCTCATCTGACCAGCCCCTCAAATGGGAGTCGATGTGACAAATTGGCGCCGAGGAGGGCGCCTGGCATACAGTAAAATCGCGTATCAGAGGAATAATGCTAAAAGTGAAATAAATCAGACTTCGCACTGACGTCGTAATTTTAAAAATTAACTAAGAATAAAAAGAAGATGCATCTGAAAGGACGGGAGAAGTCTTCTTTCAACAGACAATAATTAATCCTCCGCTCAGGGTTCATGAACAGCCACCGTGCAAATGGCTCCTTTGCAGGCCTGGAACTCCCTGGGGTGCATCACAGGGAGGCCACTTCTGGGGACCCGTGGGTGGGGCTGGGAGGCTCCCACAGCCACCCTTCCAGGCACATGAGCACCCACAGTGCCCTGGGCCCCGCCTGGGGTCGGGTGCTGAGTGCCCCCAGGGAATGCGATGGAGCCTGTGAACCTCACAGGGCTCCCAGTCAGATGGAGGAGACAGACTCTCCTACAAGGTGCCAGGTGCTGTGCTGTGGTTGGGGAAGGAGAAGGAGCTGGGGGGACTCGGGGAGGGGGCTCCTGAAATGA